GCGATTCCAGATCAAACACTCTAACCACTGCGCCACGCGTGAGACCTTTGGTTATAGGATTTGTGGTATAAAATTTCTCTGTAAAAGCTCAAAGGCTTCTTAAGATATTACGCGGAGACAAACATGGTTTAACAGACTGAATTTATGACCTTGAACTTGAACTTTTTGATCTTAAAATCTATAGGGGTCTTCTTTATGCAATAGGGGGTTGTAATGTAAAATTTCATTGCAAAAGCTCAAAGGTTAATTGAGATATCGTGCTGAAACAAAAGTGTTACAGACAGATAGAAGTTCAGACGGACGAACAGACGGACAGACAGACCCAAATTGACATCCCCTACTTTCAGTGAAAGCGGGGGACAACAATAACTCACTAAATTCAAAGATATTCCTTGAAGCTAAAACATGTTAACAACTAAGTGGACTAACAACTAACAACTAAGTGCTCCTTGTCTCTATCTCTCATCAAAGGCCCTGGGTGCCGATTTAAGATCTCCATTTTCAGCTCTCCACCGGCAAGTGGTGGTGTCTCAATATTAGCGAAAAATTCTTGAAAAATAAAAATGATAAAACAAAAATAATGTGTCTATGTAATATGTTAATATCTTCTCACTTACCAGAATGAACTGATTCTAGACATCTTATAATGAAGATCAGAATCTGGATGATACTGATGTCCATGCTTAAACACGGCGAGGAAAAGAGAGATACGCTCTACTTCAAACTAATAGAAAAGACAATCAGAGTGTTAATGCTTTAAAACAGTGTGTCAATAAAATTATGTTAAAATATTTAAGCGACATTGTCCCCTCTAATAGAATCAATATACACATCAATTGATGTTCAATCTAACTCTTTGAAAGCGTTCTGGTCAATAATGAAATGTCAAATGAAAAGGTTAATATAGAATGTTAATCTCATTGTACTTTAAGCTAAAGTACGAAACATCCACCTTTTATTTAAGAACCAAGCTCTATGATAAACATGATGACTTTTACTTTTCTATCGTCAGCTTCCCTTACTTATGCAGCAAAATACCTTCTTCACCTGCATGTGGAGTTTATATACTGTAAATACCTTTTTAATTTCATCATTTATCATTTTTTCTTAAACCAGCATGTGAAATGCTTATACGTTTATATATCCATCGCAATTGGTACTTTTTAAGATTTCGTGAAATTTTAACACCGTGGAATTAAAACGATTTACAGTATCTCAGTTGATTCGATACGCAAGATCATGACCTATGTATGCACAATTTCTTAAACGAGGTAAATTATTGACAAAAAAGTTGATGAAATAAGAACATCAGCAATCTCGTTTGTACTCAGTAGTCATCATTTTGAAAGTTTTATGGTAGATACAATGACCTTGTCAGCAAATACAATTCATCACTGAGTCAAATGCTGACATTTTTCATAGTAATTGTTAGTCCATTATTTATACACTGAATTGAGTTCCATTATTTCCCGATCATAATAAGGATCACACAACGGGTGTGACCGGTCGGCAGGGGATGCTCACCCCTCCATGGCGCCTGATCCCACCTCTGATGTTTTAAAGGTCTGTGTTTGCTCTGCTCCTATTTTGTATCGTTTTAATATGAACTTTGATATTGAATATTGTTCGTTATCTCCATATCCTGCATTACTTTTCTTGAGAAGTGGCAAAACATTTCTTTCTTAGAGTCCAATATGGTTTACTTGTTATTATAAGTATATCTGGCACAGATTGAGAAGAAATAGAGAGTTGCTCTTTAAAGCTCTCAAATAAAAATTTTCCTTTCTAATATCAATATTTTGTATTGTTCATATTATTTTAATGGACTTTTGAGATTGAATACTGTTTATTATCTTCATATAAATCAAATCATAGATAACTTTCATCAACATATCCTATGTAGATCCCCTTGATTTTTATTTCGGAATCATTGGAAATATACCCTAACAAAAATACCGTAGTAAACTATAGTTAATTTATAGTTTACTATAGTAAATCAAAGTTCCTAAGTTTTCACCATAGTAAATCAAAGTTTTAACTTTTGTACTATAGTTAACTATAGTAAATTATAGTTAAGTATAATTTACTATAGTATTTTTTTCTTAGGGTATTCTACATGGAACCTCATCCTTAACCGCAACTTAAAAGAATATAACTGCAAAAACACTTTTGAGTGTTAAACTGATTTTATTAATTCTTTTCGTTCGAGAATTTTTCAGTAAAATAGAAATACCATCATATACCGGTAAAAGGCTTTATATCTTGGTCTTTAGTGGGAAAATATAAGGCTGTTCTACTGACTGTAGACAATAATGGCCATACAACAACTTATATGCATGATATGACATTTCATGGTCCCGGTTTTTCCATCCCCAACTTTCCTTATTTACATACATCAAAATTATGGAGATAATGAATATCATTTAAGATCAAAAGTCCCATAAACAATATAAAATAGAAACAGAGCAAACACAGACCTCCAAAATATCGGAGGTTGGATCAGGCAGGTGACATGGTGAAGTAAGCATCCCCTGTCGACCGGTCACACCATCCGTGTGCTCCTTGTCATGATCGGAAAATAACGGGAAAATCCGTCGTTCCTAAGTAAATACTTTAAACAGCCCCTCATCACTTACTCCGATAAACATGTAAATGACAATAATTCAAAAGGGGAATAGAAAAGGAAACTAGCATTGACATACAGAACTTTGGTTGTGCAACATTTCGAAAACCTTTAAATGGATTTTAATTGCAAATTAATATATGCTGGTTACAGATTTCTAACTTAATTCTCTTCTTTAGAGTGTTGGAACGGCGCCAAACACAGTCGTCAGAATAGAACAGTGTAGAAAGTCTTGAATAATGCTGCTTTCAGGGTGTAAACTTTAAATATTGACATCTCATGTATGGCCATTCAGAATTAGAATCTATCATTGAGAATCTGTAACTCATGTAAATAGTTACATTTATTTTTACTTTCAGGGGATGATTTATTTGATTTTCATATTTCAAAAAAAAAAAAAACATTATGGAAAATTTACCCATCAGAAGCTTTCATAATTGTAATGGTAAATCAATGTTTCAGAGATCCAAATTTTTTTTTCAAAGTATACCTATAATGTATCTTTAAAATCGTATTTCAGTTATAAAAACTTTTAATATTTCATATATTTATATTGGAAAATTGATTAACAGTACATATATTGGATTTCAAAAAATTAATAAAATCCCTACAAACACAGATACATAATGCAGGGTCCATTAAGCCTGCAACAATGGTGTACTTAGTATTCATGAAGTGGTGAAAAAACGACGATTTTAATATAAACTTTAAAGAACTTTTAGAAAAGTTAAAATCAAGAATTTTTTACCATCAACAGTATCAAAATATATAATTTTCAACAGTTTAGTTAGTTAATCCTTACTATTGTTAACAAGGAGGCTTTTTGATATTATAGACAACTATCCTCTCTAAAAAAAAAAGTTTAGTTTCATATTACATAAAATAATTCTTAGAAGTAAATATAAAAAAAATTACGTAGTTTCTCTTTTTCAATATCTATATAGTCTTCGGAGACTAGATCTTCACATAATCTGTTGGAATTCTTTAGTTACTGATTATTTCATGTTCATATAAAGCAGAATTTATTTATAAAAACTAGGTAATAAGAAAATATATCCTTGTTGTGGCCTTTAACTTGACATTAAGAATTATTGACGACGTTTTATCTATTAATATTTCCATTTCTAAATTTTTTCTCTATGATAACCCTTTGAAAGTTTTTCCTGATAATTCTGCCGGATGTAAATTAGGCAGGTCGATAGGTCAGGAGCTATGGAGGCCTAATATGAAAATCTCGTGCGCATACTGAGTCTGACGCTAAGGAGGCCAAATTGTTGAAAATTCCGGCTGTTGTGTTCCTTTAATCTTGTAATTTAAATCTATGTCTTTTTTAAAGTCTAAATCAACAATTTTATTTCACAATGAAATGGAAATATAAGGAATCACTGTTTTATCTATTAACAATAGTTATTTCATTTTTAGATTATATTTTAAAAATAGTACATGCCAGTGAAGAAAACTACAGAGACTGCTTCATCTGTTTTATAGTCGAATGTTTTACTAACTATGGACATAAAAGTAATAGCATTCCTGCGTCGTCTGCATGTGGTGTTATCAATTTTTAAACAAGAAAGCCACAGGGTATAATTTAAACCTACAAGGATATCATAACACCGCTTAAAGCCAGTTTTTCGTTGAATCTATTATCATAATAATGTCCTTTTGTTTGTAAGTACAGTTTAATGTTAGGTCGTGTTTTGTCTGACTTGACTGATGTCATTTGTTAGGTCATTGCTTTTATACTAAAATTGACTACGGCATACACTGTACATCAGATCGATTTACATAGGAGTCAAGCTGGGATCAAATGATCAACAGGGAAAGCTCTCTTCTCCTAGGGCACCTGATCCAACCTTCGATGTGTCCAGGATGCATGTTTTATGTCCTGTTGCCGATTCGTTTTTGTTTTCTTGATTTATAAGAACGATCTTTCTTCTTAAACTTCACCCATTACAATGAAACAAGCATTAGTAGTTTTGTAAAGCATTCCAATTTAAGTGTACATGTAAGTGCAAAACGAGAATTAGAGAACAGTATAATAAAATAAACAGAAAATCAAAAGAAAATTGAATGTCAAGAACCGATGAATATGAACATTTCGCCATTTTATGACAAAACAGGAATGTGGAACATATTATAATTTTTACAAACTAAAATAAAAACGTTTTCAATAATAATGATAAGCTTTTTGTCGTGCTGGTATTTTAGGCAAACACAGTGAGTGGGTTCGAAATAATAAAAAAAAAAAACAAGAAATTATAAGTTTCTCCATTTATTTCGAAAGTGGTGACATACTGCTTGCTTACAATGATTATAAGGTAGAATTCTTTTTTATTATTCAACATTAAGGCAGACAAATTGATACGTCCCCTGTCAAGTGGTTCAACCTAAATCTGTGATTCCCCATTTCAAATCTTTTTAATCAGTAAAAGGTATTAAATATGAAAAAAAACGTAGAATATTTGCAACAAAAATCATTAGATATATTTTGAATACATCCATCCGAAAAAGGAAGAGCAGTCAACTATCATCAATAGTCCAAAGTAAACCCCAATGGTTACCGCCCCTCCATAGCCCAGGTATCTCGATATTGTTCTTGGATCCTCTGCGCATGATTTTTTGCGTATCTGGGACGACAAATTTGTTTTGTTTATTTTCAAAGTTCTTGACATTTCCTCGATCTTTTCTTGTAGTGCAAGCGAAGAAATAAAGTTGTCAGGGAATTGCGTGCAGATATATCCTAAAAGGGAATGAACAAAAAAGGCAAGTACTATTTCTATTCTTTTCTTTTTACGTGAAGATTTATTTGTTCAACCTTCCATGGAATCATCATTGTTCTTCGTGGAGGATAAATGTTCTTGAATTTCGTGGGTAACGTCTCCACGATCATTGACATATATACATCTATTTGATTTTTTAATGGTAAAATATGCAAGTTACCCACGAAATTACGTCCCCACAAAACAGTCATAATTTCCTTAGTTGCAAACATTGACCCCAACGAAAAATGATAATTCCACAGTATTTTGAATATATTATTTCATTTCTCCTGTTGCCGTGAATATTGCACTGGTAGGTGTGTAGCAATAATTCGACACAAAATATATATATTGTCTTGCAGAGGGGTCGATATATGGATTCATCAAATGAAGTACCAAAAACATAACATTATTAACCACAATAATTTGACCAAATGGCTGGATTGATGAAAGCATTACTGAGCGTCTGTCTATCATGATGGTAATTAAATGTCTTCTTCTAGATATACATCCACTAGCTACATGACTGTCCAGAAACATTTAAAAGTTTGCTAGATGATTTTATTATTTTTATTAAGCAGTTACTGTGAAGGTTTGCTTGCATTTCCCCTAAGTGTTCCAAATTGTGTACATTGTAAGAATAATCATTTTTTTCAACATAAATTACTCCGTAAATTTGTATTTTAAAATTTTTTCCTGAGTCTTTTTGAACAAAAGACTGAAGAAACTAAAATGTAATGAAAATCAAATATGTTCATTGTCCGGCGCAAAGGATAAGATCTGTCCCCATTTTTGGCCTCTCGTTCCTAGGGATTCTAACAACAATGCAATGGTTTATCATTAAACAATTTGCCAATTTGAACATATTTTATTGTATATACTTTAAAATTGATATTGAGCAAAAGTTCTTAAAATTGAATATGCCCTTTCCCTACATATGCATTATACCGAACATATTTACATGTCTGATTTCCTCCCTCTTTAAAAATGAAGATTGATTTTTTTAAGTTCTGAGGTACATAAATGGAACAGAAGGGTACAAAATATAATTCGAATTTTCTCGTTCTTATTCAATTTTTTTTAATTTTGTTTTGTACAATGTATTTTGTTTTAGAAAACACAGAGTACAAGCTTTTACTTATCAATGCTTTTACTCTAGTATAATATCAAAGAATTATAAAAATAAATTCCAAAATGTAATATTTCATTTCTTCCTTCTTTTGCTAAAAAAATTAAATATTACTTAACGTTTTCTTTCGCATACTTTTTCCAAAATATACAATTAGCTATTCTTAACTCGATTGTATTTTAAGGGAAGGCAACCGAAGATAAATTGTCTTCAACGTGACAATAAAATATTTAAAAATATCACAAATTCCTTACGATCTCCAGATGAGCACATCAATTGTTCACAGCTCTCTTCCTGATCAGCATCACCTTCACAGTCTCTGCCGCCATGCTGTGGGGTTGGAGAGTCACATAATCTGACACGCGTTCGATTACTCAAAGTGCAGTTGACCACAACACAGTCTGACCAAACACTCCAAGAAGACCAGAAACCATCCACTGAAGAATAGTTGTAATGCAAAGTGAATAACAGCCATAGAGTGGATTTCAAGGAAATTGCAATTTTGCCTATCTGTTCTTTTTGCATATCTAAGAATTAACAGTTATCATTAGAAGGATCGTTTTCTAGTTCTCTTTATAATCTTAATACCGCATGTTCATAAAAATTTATATTAAGGTAGACATCAAGTACCTGGACAATTTGGTAAATCACAGAGTTTCGTTTGCTCACTTGCACCCGTGCAATTCAAACCACCATTTGCTGGAGCAGGAGAATCACATGACCGGATACGGGTCTGCGTAAAGTTCCCGCAGGTGGCGCTGCAATAGGACCAGGAGGACCAGACCGACCACAAGCCATCAACTGAGTTAAGGATAAAATGTAACATATAGGGAATAACAGTCATAAAGGAAAACAGCATTCATAAAAGAAAATCCTTTTAAATTGTAACTTTACTTAACTGTTTCTTTCATTTGTCTATAAATTAATCATGGCATCTATATAAAAATGCTGCTATATATCATTGATATTTATTAAGTACCTGGACAACTCGGTAAATCACAGAATTTCGTTTGTTCCCCTTCACCTGAGCATTGTGCACCACCATTTGATGGAGGGGGAGAATCACATGACCGGATACGGGTCTGCGTAAAGCTCCCACAGGTGGCGCTGCAGGACGACCACCAGGACCATTTCGACCAATCACCGTCGATAGCATAACCTAGAAGATAGTTACAGGCCAGACGAATGTTAGATATACGTATATGTTGATGAAAGACATTTTGTAAAAATGAGGTGAATGAATGTGTACGAAAACTGTAAACAACGAAATAACGAATTGAATAATAAAATTGTCTTTTCTCCTATTTAAAATAATTCGTCTAAGGAATTACAAACCCTATATAATATCAATAACATCTTATTTTAATCTTTATTCTAGAATTCTTTAATTTTGAAGAAAAAAATTGATCATGGTAATCAATCAAATTGTATTTATATATTTTTTCATATCCGTGATTTTTGTAACGGATAGAAGGAGTATTTCTTTTTGGATAATTAAATAGCTTTTACGAACTTTGTGGGGGAAAAAGCATACGGTCGTTCAGCTGGTAAAAGATCAAATCATATTAAAAACAATATGTCAAAGTACAATTTATGTGCAGATACCAATAACGGTGTACATCAAGGTGCCATCTTAGGGTCATGACTTTTTAATTTGTTTTTAAATGATATTTTTATTCATCAAGATGTCAGTCTTATGCAACTTAATCTCACTGTCAAAAATAGATCGATAGTCTTATTATCACTCCGAAATAGGAAAGCATAACTATAAACTGATTAACAGAAAAATCTATGCAGGCAAATCCAAGTAAGGTTCAGCGCTTAGTTGTTTGAGGAAAACATTAGAAACCAGTTTTTATGTACGGTGAAGCTGAAATAGATTTAGAAGAGACTATGAAATAATAAATAATTGTTCTCACGGGGTTATCAGGATATTTGTCAAAAATAAAAAGATTACAATCTATCTTCTGAAATGAATGTACTATGAAATTTCAATTTTTGTTAAATTGTAATAAAAGCAATACTAGAAAAAAGTTAAAGGGCGAGCTCTAAGGTTTATCAATGTAGCTGTGATGGTCAATTGTGCATTTCTTACATATCAAGTCTGACTATACGAACAAAACTTTTCAAATTTTACGTAGATTAACGTCAGAAATATAATGGAATTTGTCAGTTTTCAGAAAACTATATAGATGTTTATTTTATACCCCGGTAGTAGTTATTCAACTATATTGGAACGAACTAACTAAAAATATCAGACTGGAAACAATATAAGAATTTTACACATCATTGGAGCGGAAAACAGAGATCTACCACATAGACAGAAATGAAATATATGGATATATTCAAGCTGAAAAGTCCATTTAACAATACAAATTTAAAGCAGAACATGGACCTCCAAAACATCAGAGGTGGAATCAGATGCCATGGAGGACTGAGCATCTCCTGCCGACCGGTCACACCCGCCGTGTATTCCTTGTCAACAGCAGTGTGTCCAGTTGTAAAGAGCAGTCTTAGTATCAATGTTTTCATAGTCTGGAAGAGAGAATATATTTCAGAGAAATAAAAGGGTGAGAAAAAAGGTTTACCTTCACATAAAAAATGTTTATGATCACTGCACTCCTTAGTACCAAACTTGAAGTTTCCCTCATACAGTCTGACACATTTGTCCGTGTCTTCATGGTCTGGTTCTTCATATCGCCAAGGAAGGTAAGTGGACACCTCACCATCAATCCAGTGGTACACATACGGGGACCCGGTGGAGTGTGTTCGAAGACCGATCCAAACTCCGTCTTGAAGGCTAGTGAAAAGAACAAATGATAGTTTAACTTGACAGGCATGAAATTATATTGCTTCTTTTCACATTCTTTTCCCACGTGAATGATGACTAAAGAGTCAATATGGATACATTTTCTTTGTCTGCTATGGAAAAATACTCCCATATTCATGACTGGTTTTCTTAAGCTTATTTTTTTCATTGGAAATGACAGTATAAAATATAATTTAAAGGACACAGCTTGCTTTCATAGGGCAGAACAAACAATTCTTTTAATCATATCCTGTTCCATCACTAAAACAGTCAATCCCTGTAAAGACTAAACTTCTGGCAAGCTAAGTCTTTTGTCGTCTTAAACCGTTTACAAATTACTATGGACTACTGGAAAGGGATATCCAATATATAAATTTAACTTTACTACTTCTAATACTTTACACAATTCAGATACGACTTATAAAACAAGTGATCTCTATATTGCATTTTCACATTGTGATGTAACAAACATGGAACAAAACGTTTCATTACAGATGGTATTTATAGAACATGTGTATAATGTGTGCTTAATTTTATTCTTATCTGAATTGTGATTTTGTAAATATAGAGATATATTGCTTCATTTCACATTCTTTTCCCACGTGAATGATGACTAAAGAGTAATGTAATTATGATTTACGAGGGGTGCATGATCAAAAAGTTTGCAAACTATCTCTATATTTACAAAATCACAATTCAGATAAGAATAAAATTAAGCACACATTATACACATGTTCTATAAATACCATCTGTAATGAAACGTTTTGTTCCATGTTTGTTACATCACAATGTGAAAATCACGACAATATAGAGATCACTTGTGACAAAAAAAAAACGGTTGCGTAAGTCGTACTCGGGAAACGAACGACAGTAAAGTATTAGAAGTAGTAAAGTTAAATTTATATATTGGATATCCCTTTCCAGTAGTCCATAGTAATTTGTAAACGGTTTAAGACGACAAAAGACTTAGCTTGCCAGAAGTTTAGTCTTTACAGGGATTGACTGTTTTGGTGATGGAACGGGATATGATTAAATGAATTGTTTGTTCTGCCCTATGAAAGCAAGCTGTGTCCTTTAAATTATATTTTATACTGTCATTTCCAATGAAAAAAATAAGCTTAAGAAAACCAGTCATGAATATGGGAGTATTTTTCCATAGCAGACAAAGAAAATGTATCCATATTGCCTAAAGTCTTTCAGAAAACGGTAATCTATATGTTCTTGGTCTCTTCTTTAAAATAATGTCAAATTTAATATAGGTATCGGGACTCCTTTTCAGATGATTTTTTAAAATTGAATTCCATGAAAATACTTTATTTCCTACATAATTCTACCAGAGCCGTAAAGTACAGGAAAAAGAAAGTTAAAGTGATTGTTACGTCATAATGGATCTAGCAATAAAAGGTTAGTCTAATGACATTTACTAGATCATGACCTCAAAAAATACAAAACAGAAAAAAAGCAAACACGGACCTCCAAATCATCAGAGGTGAGATCAGGTGCCATGGAGGAGTGAGCATGTCTTGCTGACCGGTCACACCTACCTTGTGCTTCCTGTTTTGATCGGGAAATGACAGAAAAATACATCGATAAGTCAGTGTCTGTTATAATGGCCTAACAATCAGTATAAAAATTGTCGGTCAGTATTTGTATCGATCATAGAACTTACAAAATGATGACTCAAAACAAGACTGTTGAAATTCTTGTTTCATCGACTTGTTTGTCAATGATTTAACTCATATCAAAAGTTGGTGATACGTCGAACATGCTCTTGCATATTGAATCAACTGAAAAAAGGAAATGGAGATAATGAACAGTATTCAATCTCAAAGTCCATAAAACAATACAAAATAGGAGCAGATCAAACACGGACCTCCAAAACATCAAGGGTGGGATCAGGTACCACGGAAGAGTGAGCATCCCCTGCTGACCGGTCAAACCCGCCGTGTACTCTTTCTCATGATCAGGAAATAACGGGCAAATCCATCGTCAATTCAGTGTAAAAATAATGGAGATATAAACTCTGTTTGCAGGTGATAAAGGTATATTGCTGTTTAATATAAATAAGGGAAGTTGACGATTCGATTGAAATCAAATTTATCATTAAAATTGATTATTAAAGTAACATTAAAGTCAAATTTCTTATAAAATCTTTTAATATGAAACAGATGTGACAGTCTCTGGGGTATATTTTATTTCAAGCTCACAGGGATATATAGCGTCGACGTAAGAATGGAAATAACCGGGACCGAAATGATTTTTTTTTTAAAGATAACTGATCGGTCTATATCCAGTAAATCTACATTGTTTAGTTACTTTTTGGTTTGAAGATAGGACTTAGCGGCCTCATACTGGGCGTCATTCTTTATACACACGAGCCTCATTCCCCTCGCCTCACAATCGGACCGTGCAGCATCCCAGCTCGTCTCGGAGGAACCAAAGTAAAAGCCTGGAAACAGCGGTAATACTGACAGATAACTATTGTACGACACACTCATAAAATGTATTGTAAAGCTAGGAAAAAACTAGTGAATAAAGAGTGTACATGATTATCGTACAGCTAAAGCTTCTTATAAAATAAAGCGTTCAGGCGTACATTTTAAAACATCATCAGATCAAAAAACAAAAGACTTCTAACATTTTTTTTTATAATGGCTTCAGCTTTTTACGTGAAACTTTCATTCATGTAACTTCAGAAGCATGGTCGTTTTATCTTCAAAAAGCGAATAACATAATAGTGAGCCAGTTACTAGAAGGTGTTCTCAGGACTCAAACATGAACAGAGTTGGGCTCAACATTATTTTATATTAATGATTTCAAGTATAATTTCAATAATTCTTGTATTAAAATTGTTTACGTTTCATATTCGTTACATTATATATATTATATATATTTCTTTGTACTTACCTGCTTCCACGGAGTAAAAGTAACATAAGATGGCTAGGTTAATTATATTGAAGTCTATCATTACACTGTAAAGTAAACCATCATACCCCAGGCTCCAATACCCCAGCAGCTGGCGACTAAAGATTTGACCTATGTCATCAGATCATTTATATTTGTGGACCAATAAAATAAATCAAATAAACCAAACACATAATATAACAATGTAAACAGAATAATCCTGTTTCATTAATATCCTTATTTCTTGCAATGTTAACACTAAGTGTTTTAATCGATATACCTTATAATTTTGTCCAAAACCTTTTAACATGCTTTTAAGTAAGAATCGAGTTCAAATTAGTTCATTGTTTTAAACAGCTGAGAAGAAAAGGGTATTTCATGTTCTGAGTCCAGAATCATTCTTTTGAAAATCATTAAAATTTTAAACGTTTACAGTTAAATGAACTTCAAGTATTAATGTTTTCATGATTTATATAATACAAATGCATTGTTATATTTCATATCTCCTCTTTTGATAAAACAAAGGTCCAATGAAAAGTTTTGCGTTTGCTGCGATTGTAGTACAATATAAAAAAATATTTATTAAAAAAAATCATAAACTTTGTAACGGAATACTAGTATATCTTGTTTATCAAAAAATCTTAAAGAAAAAGCGGTATGCGTGCACTAGAACCCATCAAAATGGTTTTAATTCAAAAAGTTTTTTGGTTATTACGGGGATTTCATAAATATCGTTTTCTCAACAATTCTTATATTCTTTGCTCGTACTCATGAACTGAGCAAATATAACTTGTTAAAGGATCGTATTTTTGGCTATTTATATAATAATTGTTAGCATCTAGTTTTTTAATTTGACGGCAAAATATTTCGTGTACATTTTTATCAATATTGATCACGGCTTGGGAGTAATGTCAGCATGAAATGCTTAACCCTACATGGCACCGGATCCCACCTCTTATGTTTCAGAGGTCAGTGTTTTTCCCTGCTGCTATTTTTGTATTGTTTCATGGACTTTTGATCTTGAATACATTTTGTTATCTCCATATGTTTCATGCTTACTCTTTGACTGCATAGAAATTCCGGGAATCGTGTTTTACGTCCTGTTAATATATTGATATATTTACATTTCCATGTGTATTAATTTCAAAATGACATGGAATAAAAAGATTAGGGTTTCAATTTGGAAAAATACACTAAGACCTAAATAGATTATACACGTGATACACGTAAACTAGAACATGAAATATAGATCATATTATAACCTCCTCTTTCTTAAAAAAAAGTTGGTTATAAAACATATAACATTTAATTTCTTTTCAAAACATTCAACGTCCAGTCAAAATGCACATCGTTTGTTATATTCAACTCCAATGTTTTTATTGCTCTTATCAAAATTGTGCCAGGGAGTAATTGAATGCCATTTTTGTTTGGCTGTACTGTCCTGACCGACTGGATGAAAATGACCTAACTTAAACTGTTTTACCCTTCAAGAAACAAAACAATTTTCCATACAATCCGTAAAAATGATTTTTTTTTTTTTTGGATACTTAAAATTTAAGAATTTAAAATCAAAAAGTGTTGATTTCATCAGCATTGCATTTAGATCTAGAGATGAGATACATGTATTTTTCTTCTGCAAAATATACTGCAGTGTAGTCCGTGGAATAGTTGCAAAGTAGTTTATTTATCCTCTTAGTTTTGAAAATATCCATCCGAAAAAGGAAGAACAATCGAATATCATCAGGAATCCAAAATAAACTCCAATGCATATCGCTGCTACGTAACCCATATACTTCGATGTTGGTCTTGCGTCCTCTGCGCATGATTTTTTGCGAATCTGCGATGACAAATTTGTTTTGTTGACTGTCAAAGCCTTGGATATGTTCTGGAGTTTTTCTTGCAGTGCCGATGAAGACATAAAGTTATCAGGAAAATGTGTACAGACATAACCTTAAAAAGAAATGAATCGAGAGAAAAAATAATATACATATGTGTAAGCAAGGAAGTATAAACTTGAACATTGTATGTAAGACGCTGGTATAAACAATGTTTTGAGCAGAGTTTCGTTTTATGTTTTCGAATGTACATAATTATTATATTCACTTTTTTATTCGTGTATTATTTTTATCAAAATAACAACCGACAATAAATAATCTGATAAGATGGAGAGATGAATATAAGCGTATTTTCATTTCAATTCTTAAAATGAAATACAATTTCCTTTTTGAATCGAATATTGCTAGTAATCTTAACCTTGTTCATATGAATTTAAGAATACATACAAGAAATATATGGATATAACGAAAAGTATTCCAACTCAAAACTCCAAAACAATACAAAAGAGTAGCAGAGCAAACACGGACCTCCGAAACATTAGAGATGGGATCAGGTGCCATGGAGAAGTGAGCATTCCCTACCGACCAATCACATCCGCCGAGTGCTCCTTGCTGTGATCGGAAAACAACGATTAAAATCCGTCATCATTTCAGTGTGTAAATAATGGACTAACGATTAGTATGTAAAACGTCAGTCAGCATTTTACTCAAAGAAAAATTTTATATGCTGACAGGTCATTGTATCAACCATAGAAATTACAAAATTATTACTTTAAACGAGACTGCTGATATTCTTGTGTTATCAAATTCTTTATCAATAATTTATGTCGTTTAGAAATTAAAAAAAATAATTACTTTGCCAAAAATTGCAGTGAAAGATCCCGAAAAACTGTCTGGATTAATATATCTTGAATTTTGTTTAATCAAGAAATTCTTCGATTAGAGATTGATTGATTAATTTCATTGTATGTTGTTTAATGTCCCTCTCGAGAATTATTCACTCATATGGAGACGCCACAACTTGGCCATGAAAAGCTACAAATTTTATCCTATGCTCAGGACCATATTGAGGAATCTTTTTGGTGCCAGCACCGTCTGGGACACGGCACCTTTGTTTGTACGGTGTCATCTGAAGAAACGGTCTCCACGTCCGGCGTTGTGATTCGAACCCGCGTCGTAAGGATCGACTCCTTTTTTGCGACTCTAGAGCAGACACTCTATTCAATAAGCCACGCGGGCGACTCGATGGAAAGAAATAAAAATTAGTGATCGATCATTAAAAAACTTCAACCAATACAATTCTGTGAGAGCAGGGCCTACAATGTGGACACCTGGAAATTCAAGGGGTGGGTCAGATGTCATAGAGAAAGAAAATCTACTGTCGACCGTCACACCCGCCTTGATCCCTTATATGGATATTGATCCGGAAAAAGGAATGAAATCGTTCGAAATATAATCCACTGATTTTCTTTCCATAAATTGTGAGAAAAAAATATAAGACAAATTTTTTGCTAATAAATTATTTGAGGGTAGCTCGATCTTTTTACGATCATGGATGGATCGACAGGGATGCTTCATCCCTGATGGCACCTGATACCATCTATGGTGCTTTCAGAGGCCTTTCAGAGGCCAACTTTATACGGCTCACAAATTATTTCATATTTGAATTATTACATATCGATGAAAAGATCTATTCCAAAAAATTATTCAATTGTGATAAAAGCATTGATTTTGAGCATAGATTCTGTTCAATATCTTCTCATTTCAAACCAAAATAGAATAAAATGTAACATTTAAGATCACAAAACATCCTTACTATCTCCAGATGAGCACATCAAATGTTCACAGCTCTCTTCTTGATTAGCATCACCTTCACAGTCTCTGCCGCCATGTTGTGGGGTTGGAGAGTCATATGATCTGACACGTGTTCGATTACTCAAAGTGCAGTTGATCATAAAACAGTCTGACCATTCACTCCAAGAAGACCAGAAACCATCTACTGATAAAGCAAGGTTAAAAAGAAAAGTGAAAAACAGTCATAAAGTGATTAACAGTTTAAAAGTCAATCTTTTTGTCCAACTTTTTTTCGATTAACGTTGAATTATGATTGATTGATTGTATATTGTTTAACGTCCCTCTCGAGAATTTGGAGACGCAACGTTGAATTATAGAATTATTTCAGTTTTCATTAACACCATCGTTTTCCATTTTTCTTAATTTTCTTTACTGCAACGTTATATTGAAATTAAGGTAGATTTCAGGTACCTGGACAACTCGGTATATCACAGAATTTCTTTTGTTCCCTTTCACCCGTGCAATCCACACCACCATTTGATGGAGGGGGAGAATCACATGACCGGATACGGGTCTGTGTGTGGTTTCCACAGGTGGCGCTGCAAAACGACCACGATGACCAGATCGACCATTCACCGTCGATGGCGTAATCTAGAAAATATTGTAGGAATGAAAAATTCATGAGTTAGTACCATTGGTGGTTGGATCTGCAGAATATTGTGATTAAAAAAAACCATTTTAGTGAAAGGTAGCAATTGAAACTTGTAGGAAACATGGTTTTTATTAATAATAGCAAGAAAAATGCATAATTTTTGAATCCGCCAATATATCGTCAATATATCTAATCATGAAAATTGTTACGCCTTTGGGTTTACACTGGATTATAGATTTTCCGTTTATTTGATCACGAAAAAGGACAAAAAGATGTAAGAGGTTGGCAGGGATGCTTCCTCCTGCATGACATCAAATCCACCTCTGTTTTCAGGGTTTTCTTTGGTCCCTGCTCATAGGTTGTAATGCTAAAATGAATTTATGAGTATGACCCCTCGTTTTCTACACATTTCATTGGAGCCCCGGCTGGAATTATAGGTTGACGTTTATTACAAAAAAAAAAGAAAACAGCTTTTCAAAAGAGAGTAAGGGTTTTCTGATAATATTGAAATGAAATGTTTCTTACATTGAATTGACAGTATTCTAGATCAAGGCTAATTGAAAATACATTTACCAGAATGCCAGGAAATCTAGTTTTGTAAATGTTCTATTTTAGAAAAATTGAATTATTTTGAGTTAACGAACAGTATTCCAACTCAAAAGTCCATAACGTAATACAAAATAGGAGAAGTGCAAACGCGGACCTCCAAAACATCAGATGTAGGATCAGGTGCCATGGAGGAGTGAGTATCCCCTGTCAACCGATCGCATCCGTAGAGTGCTCCATGTCATGATCGGAAAATAACGGAAAAATTCGTCGTCAACTCAGTGTATAAATAATGGACTAACAATTGGCATGAAATAAGTCAGTCAGCATTTGACTCAATGATAAACTGTATTTGCTGACAAGGTTATTGTATCGACCATTGAACTCATGAAATGAGACTTAAAATGAGACTGCTGATATTCTTGTTTCATCAACTTGTTTGTCAACAATTTGTCTCGTTTAAGAAATTGTACATACGTAGAGAATGTGCAGTTTGCATCAACTGAGAGATATAAACTCCGTATGCAGGTGATAAAGGTATATTGCTTTATAAGTAAGGGAAGTTGACGGATGGGAATTTAAAGTCATCACGTATATTATTGAGCTTGCTTGTCCGATTACTATTTTAAATATAAAGATATTAACAATATTCAAGGTCAACATCCTCGTTATGGATTACGGCTAATTCTATTTTTTCGCTTATTTACCGATCAATACGAGGAGCACACGGCGGGTGTGATCCGTAGGCAGGGGATGTTCACTCCGCCATGGCATTTGATTCAACCTCTCATGTTTAGGAGGTCTGCTTCATTTTTTGTATGTTATGAACTTTTGATCTTGAAAACTCATTGATATGTTCATATGTTTCATTTAAAGAGGTGTTCATCAAAAAAAATCTCTTCCAATTACGATTGATGAAAGGATTAATTCTTAGCATTTAATATCTTATTGCTTATTTGTGCTTGTGTGGTGTGTGTCTACCAGATAGAGACAGAATGATTTTACCTTCACATAAGAAATGCTTTTTAGAGCTGCATTCCATTGTGCCAAACCGTAAGGAATTAGAATACAGTCGGATACATTTGTCCGTCCTCTCGTCATCTGGTTCATCATCAGCCCACAGAAAGTAAGTGGAGACCTCGTGATCTATCCAGTGGTACACATACGGGGAACTGGTGGACCTTGTACGCAGGCCGATCCAGACTCCATCGTTAAGACTAGTTAAAGAAATATTCAATGCTGGAAAGGCTAAATGGAACGTTCAATCACTATAATTCATCGACAACTATAAATCAGTATGAAATAGTCCCTGCACTCAAATTTTCCAACAAATTGACAATGTTCCAAATTTCTTGGGGTGGTATCAAAATTATAGGACTAACAAGGGGTTTCGTACAATTTGTAAAAAACAATCCTTTTGTTCTCTACCCTCACCTTTGGTTCCTTAAGTAATCTTTGGCTGCCTGGTACAGAGATTCATTCTTCAGACACACGAGTCGCTTCCCCCTCTCCTCACACTCAGACTTGGCGTCGTCCCAGTTTTTCTCAGAAGAACCAAACAGAAATCCTTGACAGAAGATCCGTATTGTATAGAAACATACTGTAGAAACATCTTTGTTTGTAGGCGAACAATAGTTGTGAATTTCATGGATCACCCTACCCAGGAATTGTAATATTTTACGAACGTTTATTGTTAAATCTATTGATTCATTAAATTTATCGTATAAAATAGAAATATACGAAATTACATTCCCATAAACATTCCCATAATGCCCCCAAAAATTGAACTTAGGAATCAAAATAATTGTACAGTGGTGCTTTTTGTATAATTTTGAATTTATCCGTCAATTATTTGTGTCATTTAATGATAAATTTGTAAAATTGATCCATATCCAGTGTTTTTAAAAAATCAAATTCAATCATTTTGAAGATGAACTAATCATTTTTTCTTATTTTAAATTCAAGTGATTTTCTGCGTACATTTTTATATAAAATATAGATAAAGGTAATCTTCGGCAATATTGTTTAATGCAAAACAAAATGACACAATAACACAATTAGAATAATTTTAAAAATCAAAAATTATTTGTATATTTAACGATTCACACAATCAGCTTCAGTATTACAGTAAACAATACTCACATACCTGTGTCAACAAAGTTCAAAAAACAAACACCGATATAAACAAATTTAACGACATTTAAATTTATCATTACAGTTTTGTACCAGTTGATAATCCCCTGTATTGTCTTATTCTCCACGGTGAAGCGGTAGACCAAATGATAAAAACTAGGCCTTAATCTGTTTTAATCGGAAATTCATTTTTTTTCTCTCCAATCAAATATTTAAAAAAAAAACTCATAATAAATTACCTATATGTACGAAATCCATCCCGATGAGTCAAAAGGGATATTTGTTGCCAGCACATAATGCATTATCCACTTTATCTAAAAGCCTTTTAGCATGATCTCTAATGCTTTTGTTTTAACCATTGTGTATTTGGCTCTGGTAAAAAATATCTAATTTCTATTTGATATAGAAAACACTACTTTTTATCATTCTTACGAAATCCTATACAATGTAAATATTGCTATATAGTGAAATTGATGTAATAATCAATGCTTTTTGTATCTTATTCTGTTTCACTTTAGTTCTTCTGTATTAACAAAACTTCTTTTTGTGAATTTAAAATTTCAAACATTTACTCACGGGAGACTATATATATATATATATATATATATATATATATATATATATATATATATATATATATATATATATATATATATATATATATATATATATATGAATCTCATATGTAATTAATATTTTGTTTGTTGTTTACTTTACAATAGAACTTTCAATTTCTCAATGGTAGTTTTTCATTATTTACCAAGATCAGTTGAAAGCAGAGACATTCGTAACTCGATCTTCATTTATGCAATTCTTAAACTCATCATACATTTCGATAACGAACAAGCTTCACGAAGTTTATCAACGTGATTTGTTTATGAATTCTGAACCTGTCCTTCAAGTTCTACATAACCAACTACCTTAGCTTAAACTTTATGATGGATGTTTCTTCAATATTTGCATTGGTTTAATTGATAAAGAAGACAAAGAATTGTCAAGTGAGTTTATTTAACAATAACAATGAAAATTATAAATACAAAACAAAACAAAATATGATGAACACGTTAACATGACTTGGAGGATGTCAAATTGTTCCCTCTCCAGGCTCTCCTACATTGTCAACTTATTTATTTCACAAACATTCTCGCTTCACAAACACTAATGTGAATTTTATCTATATTTTCTTTGAGAAAATAACAAAATAAACTAAGATTTATCAGTTTAAATCAATGATCTTGTTTCAGCATATACTGAGGTTAAAATGTTCTATGTTTTTTTTTTTCGGATCAGTATATGGTCTGCTCACTCATATCCATTTTTTCATTAAGTTATGTTCCAACTCGATACCTGTTTTTTCTGATTTTTATCCCTATTATTGTATATGTAATATATCTATGTGAGGCCACCAAAGCAAGAGACACAAGCAAAACAGATATTGACTTCCAGTTTAAGTCTTTCCATCCATTTTACCTCGTAATCCACGACGTCATTGACTCGAATAAAACCAATGCCCTTGCCTCCCATTGAATCAGATCAAATCAATGTCCTTGCCTTTCTTTTTCCACCCACTGCCGTCCACTTTTGGTGCCTTCCCGCGTTTGTCGTACTTGTTGTCGTGCCCATGTACCATATCCCACTTATCAAGGCGCGTCATGTGATAGTACACGCCCATTTTTCTGGCTGCTCTACCCCAAAGCACCCTCCCGTGAGATGGTTCTGATCCGTTCTTTTCTTTGTCCTTACCTGTGGTCGTCTCTTTGTTTGGATCAAATGTTACTCTTTTTACTGGTTTGATTGATTGTTGAAGGTCCGGTCGTTTATCATCAGGGTTTAAATTTTGCCCACTTGAATTTACAGGGTTACTTGAATTTCCATTATTCAAACCATTTCCAGCAAAATTGTTTGGATGACCCAAATTTGAATGGTTTGGGTTGTTAGGGTTTCCTGTTGTTCCAGGTGGAATCCTATTGTAATTAGGAATATTATGCGATCCTGTATTTTTAGAGGGGTCATAAGGATGTGGATTATTCGAATTCCCAGTATTTGGATGTGTTCCAGGATGCATATGATTTGATTGGTTACCTGGATTACCACCTACGTCATTGCCTGGATAATTTTCGTTTGGATTTGCGGGTCCATTTTGTGGATAATTGTGAGGGTAGTTATGCGTTGCATTATTTCGATTTGTACCATTGTCCTGTCTACGAGCGTTAGGGAATGAACCTGTCGGTGCGCCTTGACCTGGACCAGAAGGTCCCTTGTTAGGATACGTTCCAGGAGGATTATTTCCTGTGTTATATCTTTCTGGATTTGAAACACTGTTCAGTTTCCCTTTATCTGGTGCAGTTGTGTACATCGGTACAGCAGGATAACCTTGAGATGGTACAGTATTTTTGGGGTGTTGACCTTGACTTGCTGTAGCAGATTGATTGTCATAAGGATTGCTGGGTCTCTCGTCACTGTAAGGGTCAAACCCGCTTGTGGGGTCATTTGGTCCAGCGTTCAAGACAGGGATATGTTCATTCAAATTTCCACCATTTGGATTTTGGTAACCCTGTAGACCTGGATTTGAACCTTGATTTGAATGAGGCTGGTAAATTCTCGGATTATAAGCGTTTGGGTTTGAAATACTCTGAAGATTTTCTTTTCCCGGATTATTCTGCTCCTCTGGTATTGGGTTATATTGATTTTGTGGTTGATTGTTTAATTTCACTGCGCGTCCTTTAGGAGGTTGTCTACTTGAACTGTAGCTTTTAGGCGGGCCTATTGCGCCACCTTTATTGGGAGCAGATTGTTTCACAGGCAATGGAGTATCCCAGTCACATCTGTCTTCAGGTTTTAACTGTGGGTAATCCTGGTAGTTGCTTGATAAAGAAGAGTTTGGATTTGGAGCCAAATTTGAATCATACGGATCTCTATTATTAATGGCACTGTTCTCAGAAGGAAGGTTAGCATTAGGATTTATATAAGAGTAGGGAGCCACAGTAGGGCAGCCATGTAAGTTTTTACCAAGTTCATCGGGGTTCATAGCAAAATTAGGATCCCTAGCACTTTCTGGATTTCTCATAGAATCATCGGGAGCATTAGAAAAGTAAGGATTTTCATTAGACGGATATCGGTTAGGTTTGTTCATTGAATACAAATTACTTCTGGGAATTGAAGGTTGTTTTCGCCCTCTATTCCCGCTAGGTTTGTTTGTTTCGTGATTGTTGTCATATGGATTATTCTGAGGTTCGCTCTCTTTGTCGCGGTTAGAGAGAGGTGGATTTCCACGTTGATTGTCATTTTGAGGTTTGATATGCTGAAATGGTAATGGATTTTGCGATCCTGGATTAATTGGTTTATATTCTGCAGTGTTTGTTTGATTGGGGTCATACTGTAGATTTGGTTTGTTATCAAAAAATGGATCATGTTTGTTATGTCGAGGAAGATTGCTGCGCTGTATTGGTACTTGACTAATCCCACTAGTCGCAGCTGGATTATTTCTATTGGTTGGATCACTTCCCCTAGCATTGGGAGGATATTCAGTTTTCGGTACACCTTGTGGATGTAATGAAATTGCTGTATTGCCGTAAGAATTTGGCGGATTTTGTAAATACCCGGGCTGTTTTCCCGAAGGTAGTCCTGTTTTTCTGTTGCTTGGTATTGCATTATAGTACATTGGAGGATTATTGTTACTATCATAACCCGGATTTGATATGTTGAGGTTTGGATATTGACTAGATTGCTCTGGATTTGGATAATTATTACGTCTTTCATCATTATTCATCATATATGGATCAAATTGACTTTGATCACCCTTTGTAGTTGGTTCAGTTTTACTTGAAGTAGGATTTTGGCCAGCTGCATTTTTATGGTTTGAATAAGGTAATTGCTGAGGAAATCCACCATGATTCAAATCATTCGAATTATTTAGTGGATTCTTCGAATTTGGATCATATCCCTCAAAATTACTATTGTGTGGATCAAAATATGGACCGCCCTCCCCGTTATATCTAGGATATAAAGAATCCGGATTATAGCCGTTCGTCATTGCTGCTGGGTTTTCTTGAATATTTGAAGAATAAGGATGAGTTCCGTTTTTAATTAATTCATTTGGATCACCTTTATTATTCCGTGGATTTTGACCTCGTCTTGCTGCTTCCATATTCTCGGAGTAGGGAATTGGATTTGAGTTATAATTTGGAAAGTGTTTGATTGGCCTTCTTTTGTTTCTGACCTTTCTTATTGTGACATCGTCTTCTGAATCATCCTCATCAACGTCCTCATCATAATGCTTTGGAAGGATGGGATCACCGGGGCCGAGAATATTACTCAGATCTGGTGAATTGTTTTCATTTTGGTGATTTTCTGAAGAATTTGGTTTATCAAGTGATCTTTGTTTTCCGTTCATGGAATTCTCGGGATGAGCATTTGATATACTAGCATAATTGGGTAGTGATTCCTGACTATATGGGTTGTCCCTGTTGGAGGACTGTGTTGGTTTACTTTCTTCTGGGTTAAAGTTTGTTGTTTTATTTTTTGCCATTTTATCAGGTAGAAATGAACCATTTTTCCTGTCATCCGTTTCATAAGGAATTAAGGGATCACCCGGACCTAGAACCTCTGTGGGATCCTTGTGTTTTACAGAATCATCCTTGTCTGGTCTGTTTGAATCATTTGGAAAAAGGCGTCTCTTTTTATATGGTTCCATCGGGTCTCCTGGTCCAAGTTTATAGGAGACTTTTTCTTCAGGTTCCTTTCCATTCTGTGAATTTTGATCTTGTATCGGCTGATTTGAATCTGCCATACGAGTTGGATCTATATAGTAATGATTGTTATGAACCACGTATGTTATTTGAGAATCCATGTTCTTTCTTAGCATTTCTTCCATAGCATCCTTGTCAATGCCATGATCGATTTCGTTTGGTGGATCTATGTACTGAACTCTATTTCTATCCCCTTCTTTCAAGTCTTTGTTATTAGGCACACTCCTCGTTTGAGCTTTAGAAGCAACCATTGGAGGATGTCCTTCTTTTTGTGACAACTTTGTTTTGGGTATCTTTGGTTTCTTGTTTTTGTTTGTGCTTTCTTCGCCTTCCTCCGTAGATAAGCTGTCATCGGTGTTGTCTGATCTACCTCGTTTTCTGTGGCGCTTTCTGTGTTTTCGAGGTCTTGTAGGATCATCGCTGGAATCCTTCTCATCTCCTT